CTAATAATAATAATAATAATAATAATAATAATGATAATGATAATAATAATAGCCTAATAACAATAGTAGCTATAACAATAACAATAATTATAAATGATGGTAATGATAATGATGCTAACTATTTTTTTAAAAAATTAAAAATAATATAAGGTACACAATAATAATAATGATTAAATACCCTCCCCCCAAAGTGTCAGGACCACCGATCATCGGTCGTCAGGGTCGCGGCTGTGGTGTTGCCGCCGATGACGGCCGATCTATGATAATAATTTGCCATAGAAATTGATAATAATTATGCCATCGAAATAGTACAAATAAAACTGCGATTGTGGATGTTGACGAGTAGATCTATATAAGTTTTTAAGCTTAGGCCCTACTGCTCGAACTGTTTTCAAGACCTAGAGTCTTCCTTTACTTTAGTTTTTCACGTCTGCTGAAACTCTGAAAATTGGCATGTTTATTTTACCCTCTTGCCTAGCTCTCAAAGCTGTCAAATCTGCACTTCTCTTTAGATCTAGATCTAGAGAGCCAAACTTGACTTCAAGATGTTTGAACCAGTAGCAGGCTCCTCTGGTTTGTGCACTTTAAGGAGTTGTAGAACTAGAATCTAGATCTGACTTATTTGGATTATTTTCTGGAGATCAAAGTGAAGGAATACCACGACCACGACCATCAACGAAGTGATGAGAGTCAGAGGGAGAGTTCTTGCAAAGTAAGCAGAGGATGGTGTACTCACTGTTAGATCTAGAATCTAGTGTTTGACTAGTTTTGGATCTAGATTCTAGATCTAGGCTTGGTGAAGATGTTTGGCATACAGTACAGGAAAATGCAGACAGGAATAGGCCTTGTTTAACTTGTATAAGTGTATAGGACCCAAATTTCACTGCTAGAGATAGATCTATATTCTAGATCTAGATCTAGATATTATCCCAAAAGGCTAAATATCTCTAGTAGCTAGATCTAGAAGGCCCCCATATAAACTTTGACACTTGCAATGTGATTGATTTTTTTTTTCACTGTTAATTTATGGACGGTGAAATAGCCTATGGACCATTCTCCATCGGGAAACCAATTATGCTAGAACACATCACAGATCAGGGTTTGACTCCCAAGAGGAGGCACATCTAAGTCAGTTTAAATATAAAATAATACAATTTACATTGTTATGTTAGATCTAGAATTAAATCTATAGTCTATAGCCTAGACAAAATTTTCACTTAATTTGACTTATATTTGTTTTTATTTTGTTTCACTTCAAGTTACACCTTAAAAGTATCCTTCAACAAAAGCTTTCAGAAGATCATGTAGGCCTATAGGCTATAGCTCTATAATCTCGACTCAATAGCAGCCTTCAATAATCAATTGCTATTCTTCATTTTCTTATATTTTCGAAACTTTAAATTTGCCTTGACGTGATAAAAATAAAAAAATAAAAAATAATTTAAACGTTTAAAAAGATCATAAGAAAATTATTTAAAAATGTTTTTAAAAAAATATATTAGAAAGATTTGTAGATTAGAAGAATAATAAGAGATAATAAGAAATATTTTTAAAAAATAATAT